CCCACTCTCCCCGCTTGCCTTCTTCTTGAATGTCATACTGGCACATATCACACACGCAGGCGCAAACATCCGCGTGCCCGAAATCAGCCCACTGGTCAGGATCTCTCCTCGCTCCGTTTCCAAACCGATTGGCGGCGCATGCCTGCAGACTGTTGAAGGCCGAACGCACGGGGCCCATGGCCAACACGATAGTTAACTTGTGTTGAACAGTATGCCCCGCTTTTCCCTCCGGGTTCCCTTTCTGGAACCCCATGGCACGCCGTGCTCATCGCAGGTAGTCGCGTCCACAACAAATCCGGGAACGAGCCCCACTGTTTCTGCCACACGTACTGCACTGAGAAGCGAGAAAGTTTCCGAGACGCGTGCCGACCACATGCTGGCAATTTCCGCGTCGCCCCACCCCCCGCCCGATCTCGTCAACCTCGCGGGGCATGCTCGTTGCGCGGTTCACGATCCACCTGCAGATGCTTCCGCTGATGATCATTACGGGAGCCCGTGTGCAATATCACTGGTCATCTCCTCGCCAGATTGAATGGCGACTGCTTCGCCCGCTGGCAAGCCCCCATGGTGGATCTCTCCACTCACGCCCCAGGGCCCCCAACTAACCCCTGACGTAGCGGAAGAGGCGGCGCCGGGCGGAGGGGCCATTTCCTCGTCTTCGCCCCCCTCTTCTAGATCCAAATCGGCCCGCCCAATCGACGTTCCCTAACTTCCGCCCCCCTGCGTTTCTCCATTCATGGCAGATTTCCGCGGCTCCGCCCGCGTCTGCGGCGACGTCTCGACCCGCGCGCCCGCTGCCCCACTTGGCCTGTTTTTTTTCCCGAGCATTAACTGGCGGGAATGCGTCTGGCGCGCATGGCTGGGTTCGCGGCGCCCTGCGCTGCCCGACGGCTGCGAGGCCCCCGATGGTGCACGCGGCGCTGAGATCCATGACCTGAAGTTCGATCCTGGGCCCGACGCCAGTCTGCACGTGACCTCGCGGCCCCTGCCGCAAGCGCGCCGCCGCTAACCTTCTCCAAAATGTTCGGGTCGCCCCAGTGTTTTTAGCTATTCAACAACCAGCATTGCGCGGCCCATGCGCCGCGCCCCCCTGGCAAGGGCCTCGCGCCCGCGGCGCCCCGGCGCGGGCCCCGCGGCCAAGTGCCCAGCCCTTCACCTGCGATCCTCCGTGCAGCGAAGGCTTGGTATCTACGCGATCGTCACCGTCAGGAGGTTTCGCGCAAGGGGCAGCGGCCCCTGCTTCCACCTCACACCCTGTCGCGCCCCGGTCGGGCTGCCAGGGTAACCCCTGAGCGATGGTCACCTCGCCGATGTCCCATCTCTCTTCCCCGCCCCTTTTTCGCCATGGTTTTCCTTGGATTTAGAGGCTCGCTGCGGCCGGCCGACGACGGCCCCCCGATCGGCTTCGCCACCTCCGACGAGCACCCCACCTACCCACCTGCCCCCTAACTGCCCATTGCCCCGATCACATCGCGCCTCGCGGCGCATGATGCACTCCTAAAAATGTGCCGCAGCGGCGGGGCGCACGCCCCTCCCCCCGCGCACCCCTCGCGATCGGCCTCGCCGTCAGTTCCGACCGCGAATTTGCGCGCGGCCGAGGACGGACGCGCCGCGAACCCGGGAAATACTTGCCGCGACTATTTGTTTCGCGGTCGCCCCCCAGCGCATTTCTCATCGTTCTCGCGCGACCCTGCAATTCTACCTGCCCCGTCCATTCCGTCCGCGGCCCGGGGCGCCCAGCCGGGCTCACCTCTGCACCCAGGCTCTCGTCGCAAACCCTCTCACAGCACTCTTTAATGCAATCAATCATCGCAGGCGCACAGTCGCTTTTGAAAATACCTGCCCCGCGGCCCGCGCGCGATGCCAGGTCGGCCATGTCGCTCTAGCTCAATGAATGCTGCCAAAGTCAATCTGGCGCTCGGCGCGTCGGGAGCGCGTGGATCGGAGCGCGCGCGCCCGATCGTCCTCCTTGCGCTCGCCCAGCCTTCCTTCGAACGCACGCAATGCGGGCGTGATGGGCGCCCCCGCGCGCGGCCCGCGCTCTCGCGGCGGGCGCCCCTCCTCGTCGCGCCGCATATAACGCGGCGGGGGGCGCCAGCTGCAGCTATGCGAAAGCGTTGTGTCGGGGGCCTAACCCCCCCGCTTGCCCCGCCTCGATGCGCCGCGCGCCCCCTCGGGCAGCGCGGCTTCTCCCGCGGCGAATGCATCTTCCACTTCGCATAACTCGGCGACCCCGTCTCCCTCATCTCCTGCATCATCTACCCCCAAATATAGCGAATCTCCGGTTTGGGCCCGCGGGCTTCGGGGTGCCCCACGGAGCAAGTCCCCCCTTTAGAAGTCCCCTCCTCAGAAAATCCCGGCCCGACTTCCCCCGCCGCCCACGAGCTCCCCGTTCGCCGCGTTCCAGCAGGCGCACCAATGTCGACGCGGAGCGCGCCCCCCCCCCCTCCCCTCTCGCGCGCCGCCCTCCTTTGGCAGGGTGATTCGTGCCCCAAAGAACTAACTGCGCGGCCGCCCAGCCTCATCCCGGCCGCGCGCGATCGCGCCCCCAGCCGCCGCCATTTCGCTCGCTGGCCCCAGCCACTCCTTCACGCCGGCAACTTGAATGGGCGCGCTCACTCGGGCCCCTTGCTCGTCATTCCAAACTATCGCCCTCTGGCCAAAACTCCGGATGGCGGCGCCGTTGGCGGCGCCGCAGCGCATGCCCGCTCGCGAGGCCACATTTGGAGCAACTGGCAAATTGGCACCCGCATTTGGCGGCCACAAATGTCGAAGGCACCGGAGACCAGAGCAACCGCCGCCACCTTCAGGATTGGCCCAGGCGCCTCCACCAGCTGCACCTCGGCGCACTTCTGTCGCCAGCTTCTCCCAGCCCGAAGGCTTCGTTGGACTCTCGTCTGCCAGTTGGAGCGGCGGGGCCACCTGGGCCGCCGTCGCAATTTTTGCGCGGCGCCCAAGCTAATCTCTCCATCCGGCGGATCATTTACCTATCGCGGCCAGCCTAATCCAAACGGGACGCTGGGGGGATCTACTCCGTGACATCCTGGCATCGGCTGACCGAATGAGACAACTCGAATTCCGCTCGATCCCTTGGGGCTCTGTTACTCGGGTTTTGTTTCCTTGTGCTGTTCTACTTCATTGGTTCGTGTTCCCACTACGCCGCGCCGCCGCGCGCCCTGTGTTCCACTTTCGCAGCGCTCGCGATCGCTCGCGGGCACGCGCCCTCCTTTGGTCCAGCTCCAACGCCCCCTGCCCCCCGGGCCGAGGCAACCTCCGCCCTTGCCCTGGCTCTCCCATAAAATATACTGCCCATGCGTAATATGTCCAAATTTGCCCCCGCTCTTCATTGTGCTGCCCTTCCCTCCTCCTTTCAGGCTGTTCGCAACAATGTGTCCGGCATGACGGCGCCCGTAGCACGGGGGTCCCTTTGCATACATTACCTTTGCCCTGGATGCCTGTCTCTACCCACCCCGCCGCGATCGCCCTCGCAACCCCCAATCGGTGCGATTGGACAACCACTAGACAGCATCATCATCATCATCATCATCATCATCATCATCATCATCATCATCATCATCATCATCATCATCATCAGCATCGTACCCTGGCAACCGCGGAGTGAGAGGTGCATATGTTCTGGAACGTCGGTGACCCAACGAATTCCCTGAGCCCGATGTGCTTGCCTGCTGTTTCTCTACTTCCTCCAGCTCGTCATCCCGGATGCATCACATGTCTGCGTCTAACTTGTCTACCAATTCTTCAGTGATGTCAAATTCCCACGTGTCGTCGGTTTCGTGCTGTTTCGCGATAGTAGCTTTCGCATATACTGATGCTGTTAACCGGCCGTTGAAAATCTTAAGCATGCGATCGTCACCTTTATGCTGAAGGACCGCGCCCATAGTCCCCAGCTTGCCGCCGATGTTAATTGAAGCCTGCTGGCATTGTGGGTTCACATGCGCCATTGCGTTCAATAGTTGTTTGTTCCATTCGCGGGAAATTGTTCGGTCATAAATGGTTTGTTTGAGTTGCCGCGTGGCTTTATATTCGGTAACAGGCGTGTCTTTATGTGTGTCTCCATGTCCTCCCAACCTGTTTTTGTTTCCGCTATTGATTCGGCTATCCCCGTGACCTGTTCCATCGTGTTTTGTTTCTGTACATTCGCTTGTTTCTTCAGGTTCTCGCTTGCTGACTGAAGTGTATCAGTTTCTTCTTTTTCTCCTACGTACATGCTGCTGCTCACGATGCTGAGGAGAAAAGAGCTCGCTTTCGGAATCATCAATAACAGTCCGACAGCCCTGGCTCCCGTTTCGGGATATCTCTCACAAACCCCTTTCATTACCTCACGGTTGGCTCTCAATGTCGGCTTCGCGTACATGTGGTCACCCCAATAGGACGCCGCTTCAAATAGAGCACCGAACCTCAACCTGTTTAGGTTAAACCATCGGTCTCGCTCCTGAAGCGTGCTTAACTCTGGGAGCGGGTTTCCTGGATGAGCGGGTGTTGCTGTCGTTGCTGCTGCGGCTGCCAATAACCCCGCCCCGCTACCATGCAAATACTCGATGGGGAATTGCATGGAACATGATCAAGCACTCTGTGCTTCACTAACTGCACCACGGTTGAATGCTTGAGCCAAACGTCTGCAGTAACGATAACACCTGACTGAAGGACATGCGGCGATGCTCCTCACCCAATCGCAAGGCCACGTCCTACCACCTCCTCCCCCTTTGTTCCTCGACCCTGTTGTGGAAACAAAAAAGTACCGGCACCGTTACTTCCTGGACCTCTCCTGGGATGCGCTCCAAACCAAAACTCCAGTGGGACTGAAGCGGTCGCCACGACGGCCAACCAAGAGGCCCAAAAGGGCGAAAGCGAGGCAAGGGCAACGGTGCTGGGATCCTTTCCCTCCTCAGCACCGCCCCCCCCCCGCACCCTCGCCTCCCCCGCCCTCCTCCGCGGCCTCCTCCCCGCATCCCTCCCGGGAGGGGGGGGGGACCAGGCGCCCGCGCAGCGCGGGCGTGGGCCCCGGTTGGAGTGTTGGCCCTCGCCCGCGGCGAAGCGAGGCCTGCAGCAGCTGGCACTTGTGGAAGCTCAGGACCTCTGCATCCCCGCCGCCAGGAGCCAGGCGGGAAGGGGGGTGAATGGAGGAGGCATAGGGGGGAGCATCTGTAATGCGACAACAATGATGTCAGTATAATGTGTGTGCATATATGTAAATATACATATATAGTGTACACGCGCACGCACAAACAACAACAACAAAAGAAACCATCGGGCATGGGCGTGTCCTGGGCCGTTTGCCTAATCCCTGGAGCCTCAGTCCACAGTCCAGAAGAACAGTTCAGAGGTCCCGACCCCAAACTCAGAAATTTAAGGGGATTCCTGGCGTGCCCCCTGGGGTTGCCCGCGTGCCCCCTGGGCTTTGCCAAGTGGTGGCGCGTGACTTGTTCGTGTCTAAGAGGGCCCCAAGGCGGGCCAAGAGAGCCCCACGAGGCACCAGAAACGGTACAAGAGGGCCCCGAGACGCCCAAAGATCGGCCAAAGACGCCCAAGATGGCCTCAAGATGGCCAAAATGGCCTCCAAGACGCCGAAAGGGGCCTCCAAGAGTCCTCCAAAGAAGGCCTCGAGAGGCAAACATCACCAATGTCCTTTAGCTGTTGGAGGATTTGGGCGTTCTCGCCTTTTCGGCTTCCCAGCGCTCCAAGACGGTCCAACCAGCCTCCCTCCAAGAGGGCCCCGAGATGGCCTAAGAGCGCCCCGAGACGGCCCAACAGGCCCCCAAGACGCCCCTAGAGGGCTCCAAAACGGCCCCAAAGGGAGCCAAGAGAGGGCGCGCGCCCGTAAAAAACGGGCTTGGTGACATTGATTTCTGGTGGTCTTTTCGGCCTCCAGACGGCCAGGGTGGCCTCCAAGACGGCTTCCAAGACAGCCAAGACGACAACAAAACGGCTCAAGATGGCCCAAGAGGGCCTCCAGATGGCCCAAGGGGTCACCCAAGACGGCTCGAGAGAGCTCCAAGAGGCCTTCCTGGAAAGCCCAAGGGGGGCAAAACCATTGATCGCCTCTAGGTGTTTCAACCGATGTTGAGGTTCTCGCCTGCTCGGGTTCCCGACCGACCATTGGCCCAAGGGCTTCCAAGAGGAGGCCTCCACGTTCGCTCCGAGACAGCCCAAGGAGCCCCCATGATGGCCTCAAGTCGGCCCAGGAGGACCCAAACACCGCCCGAGGGGCTTCCAAAGAGGGCCCCAGGAAGGCCTTGAGGCACTCCAAGGGAGCAACAAAACAGCCCAGAGGGCCTCTGGGGCTGACTTGGTCTGTCGGAAACCCACACATTCCAGAAACTCGGGCTGTCTTGGACGGTCGTGGGCTGTCGTTGGCTGCCAGCGGTCCTTCAAGAACCTAATCAATGGTGTTGGCCTCCTCGGGCTCTCCTGGAGCGCCTGTTGGAGACCTGTTAGACTGTCTTGGGGGGCCTCTTGATCTGTCATAATACAGCACTGTTGGGAGCATCATGGCCTCCAGGACTGCTTTTCAAGGCAACTAAGATGACGCCAAGATGGCCCAAGACGACTCAGTCCCAAGACAGCCTCAAGACAAAGCAAGAAGCCTCCAAAACAGCCCAAGAGGTCTCTCAAGGGCCCTCCTGGAGAGCCTGGGAAGGCCGAAACGGTGAATTGCCTTTAGGTGTCTAGAAATTGGTCGAGATTCTCACCTCTTCGGGTTTCCGACCACCCAAGACAGCCCAAGAAGCCACCAAGAGGCTTCCAAGATAGCTCCAAGACAACCCACGACACCCCCAAGAGGGACCAAACTCGGGCCAAGAAGACCCAACGATCGCCCAATGGGGCTCCCAAAAGGGCCCCAAGACGGCCGTGAACCGCTCCAAGAGGGCACCAACACTGCATAGAGGGGTCCCCAATGCGACCCCCATGGGCGTCAGACGGGCCAACGGTCCCCTAAGACGGCCCAAGAGGCCACAAGAGCCCCCAAGAGGCTCCATGAGGCCCTCAAACGGCCCCCAAGAAGCTTACCTGAAGCTCCCAGGAGGCCTCCAAGAAGCCACAAGAAGGCCCCAAGAAGGCGCCTCCTCCTCATCATCTTCATGCTCGCTCTCTCGCTCTCTCTCTCTCTCTCTTTCTGACTCTCGCTCTCGCTCTCTCTCTCTTTCTCCCCCCTCTCTCTCTCTCTCTCGCTCTCGGCCTCTCTCTCTCTCTCTCGTGTTCTCTCCCTCTCTCTCTCTCTCACTCTCTCTGTATGAGTAGTATACATATATATATATGAGAGAGAGAGAGAGAGAGAGAGAGAGAGAGCGTGATCCACCGCCGCTTTACTGTGGAAAATTGCCAACCTTTTCCTCCGGAGCCCGGGGGTCTCCCCCCCCCCCTCCGAAAATCCCCCCCCCCCCTGCTGGAACCCCTCCCCCCCCCCCTCCCCCCCTCCCTCCCGGCAAAACCCCCCCTCCCCTAACCCCCCCCCCCCCCCCCTCCCCCCTCGAAAACCGGGGGGGGTCACTACCGGTTCGAACCCCTCCCCCCCCCCCCCCTCCGGACCCGGAAAAACCGGGGGGGGTCACTACCGGCTGGACCCCCCCCCCCCCCCCTCGAAAACCGGAGGGGGGTCACTACCGGTTCGACCCCCCCCCCACCCCCACGCACCGCCAGCAAACGACTCCCGGTCCCTACCACCGCTCGCATCACATCCCCCACTGTTGTTCCCAGCACCACTGTCCTCACCACCACTGTCCCCACTGGTTCCACCACCGTCCCTATTGTCCCCACCAGTGCCCCCACCACTGTCGCACTGTCCCCACTGTTCCCACAACTGTTCCCACCACGGTTCCACTCTCCCCACTGTCTCCACGGACCCAACCACTGCCTATCCCCACTGTCCCCACTGTCCCACTGACTCCTCCGCTGTCCCACTGAGCTGTCCCACTGTTTCCACCACTGTCCCCACTGTCCCCACCACTGTCCCCACTGTACCTCTGTCCCATTGTCCCACCGCCGTCCTCGCCACCGCCTTTACCAGTGTCCCCACCACCATTGTACCCTCCACTGTCCCAGTGTTTCCACCTCATTCCCACTGTCCCCACACCACTGTCCCCACCACCACCGTTCCCACCACTGTCCACTGTCCCCCCTGTTCCCACCATTGTCCCCACCACTGTCCCCACCACTACCGTCCCCACCACTGTCCCACTGTCCCCCCACTGTCCCCACCACTGTCCCGCTGTCCCCTCACCACTGTCCCCACCAACACCGTCCCCACCACTGTCCGCACCCCCACTCGGTTTTCGAGGGGGGGGGGGGGGGGTTCGAACCGGTAGTGACCCCCCCCCCCTTTTCATGATGAGCTGGGGGGGGGGGAGGGGTTCGAACCGGTAGTGACCCCCAGCGGTTTTCCGCGGGGGGGGGGAGGGGTTCGAACCGGGAGTGACCCCCCCTGGTTTTCCGCCAGCAGCGGTAGAACACGCTCTTTCATATATATATATATATATATATATACACATACATACATATATGTGTGTGTGTGTGTGCATCCCCCCTCCCCCGCTCTGTCTCCTCCTCCTCCTCCTCCTCCTCCTCCTCCTCCTCCTCCTCCTTATCCTCCTCCTCCTCCTCCTCCCTCATCCTCCTCCTCCTTCTCCTCCACATCCTCCTCCTCACCCGCCCTCGCATAATCATAAGCATCATCAATATCATCATCAGCAGCATCATCATCATGATCATCAGAATCAGAATCAGCATCCTCAGCATCATGATCAGCAGCATGATCAGTATCATCAGCATCAGCAGCAGCATCAGCATCATCATAATCATAAGCATAAGCAGCATCATCAGCAGCATCATCATAATCATAATCAGTATCATACTCATCATCGTCATCATCATCATCATCATCATCAGCATCAGCATCATCATCATCAGCATCAGCATCATCAGCATCATCAGCAGCAGCATATTCATCATCACCGTCATCAGCACCAGCAGCATCAGCATCATCCGCATCAGCAGCATCATCAACATAAGCAGCATCAGCATGAGCAGCGTACTCGTCAGCATCAGCAGCATATCCATCATCATCATCAGCATCACCATCATCATCATCATCGTCATCAGCATCATCATCATCCGCATCATCATCAGTATCAGCATCATCGTCAACAGCATCATCATCATCAGCATCATCATCAGCATCATCACCATCATCAGCATCATCAGCATCAGCATCATCATCATCATCATCATCATCATCATCATCATCATCAGCAGCAGCAGCAGCATCAGCATCATCATCCTCATCGGCATCAGCAGACTCTGCACCATCAGCATCATCATCATCATCAGCATCATCATCGTCAGCAGCATCATCGTCAGCAGCATCATCGTCAGCAGCAGCATCATCGGCAGCAACATCACCATCAGCATCAGCAGCATCATCACCATCGTCAGCATCAGCATCATCAGAATCGCCATGAGCATCATCAGTAACAGCATCAGTATCATCAGCATCATCAGCAGAATCATCAGCAGAATCGTCACCATCCTAATCATCAGCATCATCATCGGCATGAGCATCATCATCATCAGCATGATCAGTATCATCATCATCATCAACATCATCATCAATGTCATCATCATCATCATCATCATCACCATCATCATCATCATCATCATCAGCAGCAGCAGCAGCAGCAGCAGCATAATAATAGTCCTCATCCTTATCCTCATCCTCATCCTTATCCTCATGCTCCTCCTCCTCCTCCTCCTCCTCCCTACTGCGCGGACGAAGACGAGGTCGGGATCACGACCCACCCCAATGCAGACTTCTCGTCGGAATCGCGCTGTTTTTATACTCAGCCTTCTTCCTGCTGCGCTGTTGCACAGGCACGGTAGCGGGGTTTGCCGCAGGCAGCTGGATACTCACGCTACGACCCGAGCAACCTCCCGCCACTGAGCCAACCAGTCGGGGAACTAGCCCGCCAAAGAGCCCGACAGACGGACACGAGGCAAACATTCCATCCAACAAAGACTGTCTAAGGCCACTGACAACACCCTTCTCCTCCTCCTCCTCTTTCTCCTCATTCTCCTCCTCCTCCTCCACCTTCTCCATCTCCTCCTCCTCCTCCTCCTCCTCACCCCTGCTCTTCCTCCCTCTTGCCTCCTCGAGGAAGAGCTCACAAACTATGAAGCAAGACGCCTCCGCACGGAGCGTCCCCGAGCGGCGGCACAGGCCAGAGGCCTCCACAACATGCAACGTAAGCTTCGCCACTGCCTGACCTGAGCCCATCCTTAGGTCGGGCATGTCCTCCTTCAGGCGGATTTGGGACGAAAAATCAAAAATACCCCCCAAAACAATCCAAGATAGTCAAAAATCATGGAAACATCGTCCCCTGATTGTTTTTGTTGCCAGTTCTGCAGAGTCCCCCTGTAGAGGGACATTGCCCGACCTCGCCTCTAGCCCCCCCCCCGCCCACAGCTCTGCCCCCACTGTCCGCTGCCCCGACTTGGAGGCCTGGAAATGGGCACCCAACACCAACACGGGGGGCTACCTCCACAGGGGGAAGATGATCCTAGAGTTCGGTGTTGGTGGTAATATTTCGGCCACCTTGGAAGCCAGACTATTACCACCATCACCGAGATCGGGATCCTCTGCCCTCGGTGGAGGCACACCGCCGATACTGGTGTTGGTGTCAACCTGTAAGCCCGCCGCCCCGACGCCGCCACGCCGGCCGTGCCCGCCCGGGGCCCGGCCATGAAGCGGTTCTTCTTCCGCATCGCCAGCGCAATCGGCGTGTCCCCCGCCGCGTCCTGCGGCCGTGGGCCAATCGGGCGGCCCCCACCGCCCCTCGACATGCTGCCTCGAGGCTCCGACGTGCTCGCGCCGCGAGAAACAAACTCCTCCTCCTGCTCCTGCTCCTGCTCCTGCTCCTGCTCCTGCTCCTCCTCCTGCTCCTGCTCCTCCTCCTCCTCCTCCTCCTCCTCCTCCTCCTCCCCCTCCCCCTCCTCCCAGGAGCGCGAAGGCGAGAAGGCAGCCTCTCGCGTCGCGAAAAAAAGAAAGCACGGCGGGAGGTTTGGGGGGACCGTTCTCGGCCTCCGGCGGCCCTCCCCGGGCCTCGGGACCGGCAGGGAAGCGACTCGGGACGAAAGACGGGCCACGGGGAGGGGGTCAAAGCTTCCAGGGACCGCGCATCGAAGAGAGATCAGCGCGTCACATGTCTGGGGAAGAAGGCCGTCATGGGAACGATTCGGAGCCCTGATAGGCCAGACCTCCCAAAAGATTACCTCTGAAGTCGCGGCGCTTCCCTTCCAAATCGACATCTGGGGGCCGCTTCCCGGCCCCGGGGCCAGCGAGCACGGATCTGGGGCGCAAAAACCACCGGGAGAAGGTCGGCAATGCTTGGGTCGGGGACTGAAGAATCAGATCGGAAGGTGTAGGGGAACGTGGATTGGCCTAAGAAAACCCCGGGTTCGCTAAGGACTGGCATTATTTCAAAACAAACGAAACCCTCCCGAAACCCTCCGAGAACCCTCCAGGAGAAATTCCCGGAGGCTTCTCGGAGGGTGTCGGGAGGGTTCTGGAAGGGCTTTCGTCGCTTTGGGGGGAACCCATATCCCTAGCGAACCCTGGGCTGTCTAAGATTAGCCCAGATTGAGCCCTGGACTCAGCTGGATCAAGTCCGACTGTACGCTGGAGTACGCCTGATGAGTCCCGAGAAAAGGCCAGCGCCGATGCTGAGTTGGACATCCCAGGAGTTACCTACAGCCTGCGCTGCCAGAGGTGATCCTGGCCCAAGGCCCAGGTTGAGCCCAGCTGCCCGCACCACTCTCGAACTCCAGGGGCCCTCTTGGCCTCGCGAGGGGTGCTCTATGGAGGCCACCTGGGCCTCCCTGGAAAAGCTGGGGACAGGGTCGGGGTCGCCTCTGGGAACACCCGATTATCCTCCCTGGCTGGTCGGTCGTGCAACGTCGACTCTTACTGGACGCCTGCAAGTTGGCACCAATACTAGCACACGCGGGGGGCGTCTCCAGGGGGGGGGGATCAGGTTCCAGTGCTGGCGGTAAGATTTCGGCCACCCAAGAAGCCCGACTACCACCGCCATCGCCGAGATCGGGATCATCTTCCCCCGGCGGAGACAACTGTCGATACTGGAACTGGTGCCAACCCCAGGGCCTCCGAATTCAAGGTAGACGCATCCGCTCCTGACTCTGACTTGGGGGTCCCAAAACAGTGTGGTGACGCACAGTGTGATGACCTCCAAATTCTAGAAGACCTCACGACACGGCTCGTCACCACACGGTTGAGTAACCCTGAAGGCCCCGGTCGCACGAGGAGTCCTCGGAGAACGACCCAAGCCCGAAAACTGTGCGGTGACCCCGACTTTGGAGGAGGCCAGTGGTTGGGCCCCAAATAGATCGGTGAAGAGGGCGGAATGAAGGCAAATCCGCTCAAATAAAAAATGTCGGGGATCTTCTGATCCGGGTCAATCCAAACCCGGGTCAGCAAGAAACCACCAAAAACTGCAATGCAGGAAAAAACCGGAACGCAGGTCTTCGCAAACCCGGGTCAGCCAATAGGCGCGGCCGCCTCGCGGCCACGAGGGACTCGCTAACCAGGGTCAGCCAGAGGGGGTGTTCGCAGGATCCTGCAGGATCCGGCGGCGCCCTGGCTGACCCCCGTCTGCACTGACCCCCGTCTCGAGGCTCCCGAAAGGGTCCATCTGGCGCAATGCCAGACCCGTGCTTGCAGGCCCCGGGGACCGAATGACGGCCCACAGACAGCTCGTCGAACCCGGCGCCTCTAGACGAGCGCGTTCCTCTACTCGCAGAGTGAACACTCGCAAATGGCCTGGATCCGCTGGTGGGGACCTGCGAATACAATTGCATCGAATCGGACATGTGTGTCTCGGGCGTTTGCGAGCAGGCACTCTGCGAGCAGTGGCACGCGCTCGGCGAACCTATCCAGCCTGCCCCCTTTCCTGCCGGCAGGAACCCAGGCTGGGCCACCTCAGACCCCCAGCCGACTCTAACCCCGAAGCCCGGCCGACTCCCCGCGCGGTGTGCTCGGGTCGGGCGAAAGGGGGTGATAGCAAAGGGGGGGTTTGAGAACCAGCTCACGTAGCTGATTTTCCCGGCGCCTCCCGGCGCGGGAGGCGGCCATGCATCGAGGAATGGGCCCCTCGGTGAGGCCGGAACCAGCTGCACGCAGCAAATTTCGTACCCCCCCCTTTCCCAATCCCCCCCTGTCGTCCGGCCAGATCCAACCCCGAAGCCCTACCCGACTCCCCACGCGGTGGGCTCACGCAAACGCCGTGCCGACGGGGCGAGACGAGGCGCGCACCGGAGGCGCGCTGCGCCCCAGTCTTATAGGGAGTCGGCCGGTGCCCGTCGGGGCGCGGCGCGGAGGCCGTGGCCTGGGCCCTGTGCCCGTCGTTGGCGGCGCCGCAGGGACGTGCGAGAATGGTTTGTCAGTGCCTCGCTGCCCTGGGGCTTCGCTGTGATCTTGCTCGCTGTAGCTATTGCCCGCTGTAGCTAAGAGACCACTTCGCACGAGTGCGAAACTACAGTCGGACTCCATTGGACAGGACACGCGAGAGGAGAAGAGACCCTTCCGAGGGCAACATTGCCATAGGAATGCAGGAGGCATGGGTCGCGAGGCACAGGACACAAAGGTACCCTTGATTTGGTAGAGTCGACCTACTAATCTGGGCCGACTGTACACCATCAATGCCACGCTCTCCTGTGGCATTACTGCGGTCCCGCTCTGACCGCGCGCCGCCTGAGGCGGCGGAGAGCTCGAGAGAGCCATGCACCGAAATAAAAGAGGCTCAAAAAATACTGCATTTGAGAACGCGGGGTGGGTAGAAGCCAGGGGCCTTCCTAGTAGGGCATGGCGGCTTCCAAGAAGCCCTCTAAAAAGCCGCTACGCCAGCCCCCGCCGCCTTCTTAGAAGGCCTCCCCCTCGCGCCACTTCTCTGTGGGCGCCGCCAAATCAGGGCATTGGCATGGCCTCTCTTGGGCCCGGGGGATGACCGGGTACGCCCTGAGACACTGGAGCCGCAATTTTTTCCAAACGGGCTGTGTTGCCCTGTCTCGGGCCCAGCGGCCCTTCGATCCGGCCCCACGAAATGCTACAAAAAGGTCCAGGGTTCCGGTCGAGTTGTTCACGGATCTCAGGGCAACTGATTCGGGCGCTAAGGTCGCCGTGGCGTGGAAATCTCCAGCAGGGGGCGTGTACAAGAGCAGAACCAGCGTCCTGAGAGCCAGCGTCACCAACCAATTGCAATATAATATCATAATGGTAGTAAAATCCTGGAAGATCCCATCGTTCTGCTGCATGTGTCGAGGCACATCGATCCGTGCGGGTCCCGACCCCGAGCCAGAGCAGAATGGCCCCGTTGTGAAAAATGCGGCGCCAGAATCCTGGGGACAGGCAAGACCTTTCGGATGTGAAAAACCCTGGGGACGAGTTTTCCGGTTTCCTAGATCGGCGGCGTTCTCTCGCCTGGGGGCATAAGGTTTTCCCGTTTCGGGACTCTCGTTCGCGCCGTTTTCGGTTCAGTTTCGTGTTATGCTGCCGTTGTTTATGTTTGGTGTGTACCCCCCCGTGTTGAGTGGCCGAGAAACCCAACACCCAGGAATACAAACCAACAATCACAACAACAACGACAACAACAACAGCAACAACAGCAACAGGAACAGCAACAGCAACAACAACAACAACAACAACGCAACGACGACGACGACGACGACGACGACGACGACGACGACGACGACGACGACGACGAACAACAACAACAACAACAACAACAACAACAACAACAACAACAACAACAACAACATCATGGACAACATCATGGACAACATCAACAACAACAACAACAACAGCAGCAGCAGCAACAACAACAACAACAACAGCAGCAGCAGCATCAACAACAACAACAACAGCAACAACAACAACAGCAACAGCAACAACAACAACAACAGCAACAATAACAACAACCACAATAGCAACAACAACAGCAAGAACAACAACATGAACAAACAAAAAAAACGCGTGTATGATCAACTAGCGACAAAGCACGCTTAGCCGTCACACTCGCTTGCTCACGGAGCGGCGGCGGCTCTGGAAGCGCGCGCCGCAGCGGCGCCGCGGCGGTCCGCGCCCTGCATCGAAGGCTCGGGCCGCTCGGGCACGGCGGCGGCTCGCTGGAAACACGCGCCGCGGCGGCGCCGCGGCCGCTGCCCGGGGCCCAGGACCGCGGCCGCTGCCCGGGACCCCGGGACCCCCGTGAGAAGCCCTGAGATCCGACGCTCCAAAAAATTGGAGCGGCTGGGTTTTGACAGGTTTCGGCCTCCAGGGGCCCTCGCCAGGCCTCGGGAGCGTCAAAAAACCACTCGGGCCGGAAAACCGGTCCCGGGGAAGTGGTCCGGACCTCCGGGGTCCATGCACCAAAAAAATTGAAGCAGCTGGATGTTTGGAAGGATGCAAGAGTAAGGACGCAAGACCCTTTCAAGTTCCACTTGCCATGCAGAGCTCGCTGGACATCAACGTTGGCTCGGAATGGTCCGAAGGGGTGCACAGGTAACCTCGATGGAGCAGCGCATCCTTACTGTTAGGGGGCCACATGCGAACCCTACCCCTACCCCCCACGATTTTTGAGGGGGAGGGTGGGGTAGGGTTCGCATATGGCCCCCTAACTGTTGATCTTGACTGCGAGCGTGCCTGGGCCCGGTGCTCAATCGGTCGGGATCTCCCGGCCCACGGGGGCCAAGACACCCGGCCCACGGGGTCGGGATGTCCTCAATGG